ATTTAATTGCACCAGACACAACATTAACATGTCAACTTTCTCCGAACACACCACAAAAATACACTATCGGTCTCACATACGATTTACGACGTTCACTTTTAGCATTTAATGAAAATGCAAATTCGATAGCGAATTTTAGCGGTTCTACACGCAATTATTAACACTTGAGATCAATTAGAAATTCTCGAATAGGCGGGTCGGATTTCGTAACGATTGACACCTGTGAGGCTATTTATACAAGATACCGCTAAAGATATAAATTTTGTTCTAATGCATTCTGAAGGAAGGGATATCAGATATCAGATGAAAAAATGGCGTCAAATACGAACACCTTCAAAGAAGTAGTTCCGGCTACAAACCGAGAAACACTGTGTCCTCTTTCTTATTTTACGATTTGATTTCGGTATGTCTTATAAATCTGTAAGATTTTTGGATATACGTAGATGGAAGTCTTAAACATTTTAAACGTGTCTCGTAGTGGTAGATTCTGGTAATAGTGGCACTTTGAGATGTTATACTCCGATTGACCGTATAAACTAGAGAGAGCTCAGATCTCGTTTGTTGTCCTACCTTTAACCAAGCCTAAACGATACTGATGAGTTGCAAAAAAGCACAAAACAGCTGTCCATGGTTGACCGTTGTGGTTGGATGGACGAAAGCTATATGACTAATCTGTCTTTAAAGATGTAATAGCCATTTCGTATCGTATGGAGAAAAAATGTCTATTATGTGATGGCTTACAAAATATAGAGGGTAAAACGTATATCAGTCTGTTGTATTAGGTTTGACCCATGTTTCGAGCAGGGTACAAATGCTTCTTTTTGATTGGTCGACTTTGCAATTATGAGGCAAACCCTTCTTTTTAACTGGTGGAATTTGTGTCCGGACACAAAGAAAAAAAGTTTTTGTAGCTAAACCATGTGGTATAAGAGGTATTCCTAGATTTAATATGAGAATTCCGGGCTCATCTTACATAAACCGTAAAATTTTTATCTAGTTTGCCCGACATTTTACAGGAAATCGACGATATTCATCAGATCTATCGTCTCAAATTTTGCGCCCCAGTTTAGTAAAATCGGGCTTTGAAGACAGAAAAGTAAGTGACTTATCTGGTGAGATACTTGCAATTTTTATCAACCTTCCACTAAAGGTATTTGAATGACGACTTGAAAAAAGCTGAAAAATACGTGAACGTATTTTCCCACAAAAAAAAGAAACAAAAAAACAATCTTGGAAACAAAGTAGAAAAAAGGAAAAATAAGTAAAAAGTATTAGTTAAAAAAAAGCAAAAAAAAAACTTAAAAAAGTGCAATATGTGTTCACATACTCTATGTAACTATAATAGAAATAATACAGTGGTAATATTAAGTAATGGATGTTCTATTTTCTATTAAAACATAGCATTATACTGAACATAAGGATCTAGCCAGTTGGTTATCGACCAGTGCCAATAAAAGAACAAAAAAAAAAGTATTTTCCCCGCCACAACAGTACAATTTTTTACGTATTTTCATCGAAAAAGCAAACAGTTTTTTACGGGGAAAACGAGCTTTTTGTACTATTTTCTAAAACCCACCAATTCGTGAGGCATTTCTGTAGACTTCTGTATTTTCGCTTGTTTCGTTTCCATTGTCTATCTCCAATAACTATTCCGTACAGATGATTGCTAAAAAGCATAGAACGACGGTATACGGTGGGTTATGGCTATAGCAAGCAAACAGAACCTATTCGAAACTGATGGTTGTATGGAAAGTAGTAAGCTGATGCTGAGTCACAAAATCACTTCAAAAAACCGTACGACTTATCTGCATATCGCGGTCGATAAAAATGTCGGGTGAACAAACTTGGGATCCCAGTGTCATTCAGAGAGCGGAGAATCTTTACGCAAATAGACATAGACACCTTTATGGGTCAAAATCCTTTTGCGCCATAGGTGGCCATACCTGATGCCCGCGGTTCGCTCTTCATCGACAACATTATTTACTGTTCACCTTCGTTTCCTACATTTACATTCAGATGCTTGTTGTTTAACAGTTAGTTATTTCATAGAAAGTGTTTTTATAAAAACAATGACACCAAGCTCGATTGACACAGAGTTTAAAACTCGTTTTCTTATCAATTCTGCATTGATGAATAAGAGTAGTGTAGAGACGATTGGGAGATAAGAAAACACTGATAGATTTCATAAACTAAAGCACAAGTACCACTAGCATCTCGGAAACGCTAAGCGATATGTCTGTTAAATGGAGGTAAAGTTGCGCGTTTAGGTAGGTTTTGCAAATCAGACTTTTCATAAAAGTGCTTTTATTTTTTTCCTGGCTTTTATGAGATGGGATTTTAAAATAAATAGCAAAACAGCATTTTCATGTTCCACTACACGGTGGCAATGTTAGAATTTTGGTATGAAGTTGTTCCCCTTGTCAATCGTCAATTTTATTGTTTCTTGTGTACGCCAGATTGAACCATTGCACAGGTGAATATAGTTTGGAATTCTAGTTTCAAAAATGTATAATATGTTGTGCATTAATACTGTGAAACTGTAATTATTCAAAAAACAATACTTTCTGAGTGGGCCTTGAAATTATCAGATAGTCACTTGTTTCATAATTTCACTAGTCAAGCAATCCTTCAGCTTATGAAATCGACATAGGTAAATAATAAATTACTCCTTTTGATTTTAATAATGTGACGTTGTAAATATCCTGGCATGAATTTACAATATATATATACATATATATATCCTCAAATGTCGTAGAAAACAAACTTTAGTTGGTGTTAGCTCATCAAATAAATAGTATTATGCTGACATTGAAAATGGTATAGTTTCAAGAAATGTAGAGTAAATAAAAACTTCGACGATGTTGCAGCTTGCTGATCACAGTTCATACCCGTCATACCTAAACCGATGCACACATCTTGCGTTGAAATAACATTAATATATGGCTCAGGTCGGATCAAGATCAGTAAGCAATCAACAAAACTTCCTATGATGTCCTCACAAGTGCTGAAACTAGGAACGAGAGAAAACACTTGGTCAACTGTATTTAAAATTATGACTCTCATACTTTAAGAAAATGACTAGAGAGAGGCTAAAATACCGTTTCCTATATTCAGTAAATGAGATCAACTATGAAAATGCTTGACTCATTAGTAATGAAGGCAATGTCTTTGAATGACATATTATAAACGTTTTGATCCAGGATTATTAAAAACATTATTTACCTGTGCAAAGGTTCCAAATGGCTTCCATAAGAAAAAATAAAGCTGATGATTAAGGACAAGAGACGAGTAGTCATGTTGAAATTCTAATTTATCCACCTTGTAGAGGAAAAAAGTGGCAATACTAGAATACAGTTTATTTTGAAATCATACATTAAATAAATTCAGACAAAAATAAAAACGAAAATAAAAAGACATATATCGAAAATTTGACAAATGAAAATGATTCAAAAAAATTGTGGAAGTCTCTCAAACAACTTGATATAAATTTTCGTAGTAAACCAACCCTTCCGGCAAGTTTTAATGACCCTACCAAAATTAATGATTATTTTATGTCTGTTTATAACTATAAACCTGTTGATTCACTAGTTTGCGAAAACTATTTCAAAAATAAATTAAGCTCTGAATATATTTTTTTATTGAATAAGATTAGTTCAAATGACGTATTACTTGCTAAATTAAATTATATAGGTCTTGACAGTGTATCCCTTTCATTTTTCGACAGTTACCTTCATCAAAGAACTCAGTGTGTTTTTCTCAATCAAGAAATGTCTCAAGTGACAATAGTTCCCTCAGGCGTGCCTCAGGGCTCTGTATTGGGGCCGCTTCTGTTCCTTATATATACGTTCAACTTAAGCAAAAGTATTAATAATTCTCATGTCCAGTCATTTGCAGACGATACGCAATTGCTCCATTATTTTAACCCAGATAATGTCAATAATACTACTCAAATTTTAGAAAATTAATTAAATACTCTTTAGATCACAATCTACTTATTAATCCACAAAAATCTAAAATGTTTTTATTTTGCGCACAAAAAAAAACATACAATGTAACACAACTCTTGAACATTCAGATAAATAACCAAATTTTGCAATTTTCTGATTCTGCAAAAATTCTTGGTGTTGTTTTTGATACAAAATTAAGGTTTATTGAACATGTTAAAAGTCTATCTCAGAAAACCTACCTACGGCTGCGCACTCTTATAGCAAACACGTATTTACTAAATTTTAAGTTGCGTAAAAAACTATGTGAAGCATTGGTCATATCTATACTAAATTATTGTATTATCGTATACTATACTTGTTTAGACTATTTCACTAAAAACGTTATTCAAGTTATTCAAAACAATTGCATACGATTCATTTTTGGCTTACGTAAATTTGATCATGTATCAGCGAAATATCCCGTTCTAAACTGGTTAAAAATTAATGACATGGTCAAGTATCACTATTCAGTTTTTGTTCACAAATTGCTGCTCACATCTAAACCTTATTACTTGAAGGGAAAAATTTCATTTAATAATAATGTTCACTGTAGAACTCTCAGAGAAAATAATATTAGAATACCCCTGCATACGTCTACACTTTTTAAACGCAGTTTTTCTTACAACCCTCCAAATATATAATTTACCTAATTTACCTAATCATTCATTCATTTCTTTTTTATTCCATCTTTAATTCAGATTAATAATTTTTTGGTACATTTGGGTTTGGAAAGTATGCCTTTTTCTCTTTTTTTAAATTTTACTTTCGATGTAATGAACCAAATCTGTTTGTGGATAGTGTATTCTTTTGAACATCTGCTAGAGACTATATGGTTAAGTGTAAGAGTAGCAGCATGCTAAACTTCGCCATATAAGTCTGACATTTGGCTATACTACAATGCAATTGTGGATAAGTAAAGACGTCTATTATTATTATTATTATTTTGAGAAAATTCAGTCTTTTTCATCTTCGGAAATAATAGTGCAGCCTTGGATTGAATAATTGTAAGTTTAGGGATTACCTGTGCCCCTTGAATACCTATTAAGACATTTCGTTGAATTCAAAATTAAGAAAAAAATCTCGTAACATGCACCTTACCTTTAAAATGCATTTTCCTTCAGCCTCGTTCTCAGCGACGGTCACATTGTAGAAACTCTGGTCGAAAATGGGTTCATTATCATTCACGTCATGTATAGTCACTAACACTGTGGCCGAAGAAGATAAGGGCGGGAACCCGTTATCAGTCGCCACCACTGTCAACCGAGGCACAGGGTCCGTTTCACAATCCACATGTTCACGTGTTGTCACTAAGCCACTTCGCGGATCAATTTGGAACCATCCGGAGTGTGTTTCAGGTGTACTAGATAAAGAGTAGGTGATGACGCTGTTGTTGCCTTCGTCCTTGTCTGTAGCAAGAACCTGGAGGACTGAAGTGCCTGGATCGGAAACTTCCATAACGTTAGCATGGTAGACTTGGCGATCGAATTCTGGAGCGTTGTCGTTGATGTCAGTTACTTCTAGGTGTATGGTTCTGGCTGCGTGTAGAGGAGGGGTACCTGTGAAATATTTTTGGTTGTTAATAAATAAAACGTTTGATGGACTATCAAAACGAGCAATATTTTTGTGGCAATCTTTGGATATGTCAACAAAAGCCTACATGACCACATATCAGCTTGTAGTCCGGCTGTACATTTCGGTTATATCATCTATAACTCAGCCGTATCGTGGCAATATTCTTTGCAATTTATAGGCACAGAATTTCACATCAAAATGGCTACAAGATCGTACATGGATGAAAGACGCAAATGTACTTACATTACGTTAAGTAGGCTTCCAATAATTCCGAAACATGATAGCAATACGTATATATGAAAATATGTAGGAACTATCAAACATATGTAGCAGTATAATAGGACCATATTGATCCTATTGCTGCTAGATAATGCAGTAGAAATATAACCCTCTTTAGAAGCGCCAGAAGAGCAAAATCATATATCCGCGACTAACGACTATCAATGTTGTCGTTGCGTATGTACAATTTTTCAAAATGCCTGAAATATTTAAGTGTTCAAAAGCTTATAGGTGTTAATAGTTATTGTGAGGTTTGCATGAAATCGACCGCTATATTTAGATATTATCTCTAAGGCTGTTATGAGAGACTATGTTTTCCAATATCGCTACACTTTCCAATAGAAACGAACCTTAACATACGAAACTCCAGGTCAAGCTTGAAACTCATTAAAACGTGACCTATACCTAGAAGTTACCACTGGCGAGGAAGTATTGTAATCCAGAAAAGTTTCGAAAATGAGAAAAGGTAAAAAATTACTTCAAAATAAACTTAGCTCAAAAAAACTTTTCGGGGCCTTTTAGGTAAGGGCTTGCACTTTGATTTAGGCACTATTCGACGTCAAAAATAATAATTTTTTACCATTTTTAGGTTCTTTCAAATATTGAACTCGAAAACGGCCAACCTTAGGGATCAGTTACACGGATCTTTTTGTCCAAAATGATTCGCAAAACCTGAAAAAATTGTTTCCGTTGAAAAAACGGGGTTTCACTATATCTTTGCGAGCTGTGCGACGTTGACAGATTGTGGCAGGCGGATGCACAAACGCATCGTACGCTGACGAAGCCTTGAGCTTTCATAGACGCAGTAACGCGGACGTACTGTACTTGCACTTTATTTGTTATTCAAAGAAAATTACTAATTACTACTACTACTAGATTACTAAAATTACTAATACCTTATACCACCTGTTTCACACTGAAATACTTTGCCACACTGTGTAATGTGATTTGAAGAAAAAAAACTTTTCAAAGCGATGTTGTTTTTCATTATCGCATCTGTTAGATGCCCCTTAGCATGAATCGAGAGGTTTCCTGTTGGTAACCCGGAGCACATTTTTTCAAACAGATTTCTAAAAAATGTTTTTTGATTCGTAAAATTTTGGTCAGCTTTTTCATTCTAACCGAAAAAGGCCATCGTAACGTTTCTCTAGCGTTGAGCCTTCTTAAGTTTGAAGCGCACCAGTACTAGAGAAAGCCGAAAATTGACGTTTTCAATGCTTAAGAGCTAATCTATACTTTTGAGGTTGCCTAATTTTTTACTGAAAGCTAGAAGACTCCATAGAAGCACCGCTCGGATTTTGATGGAACTTTTCACACACGATTACTACTACACCAAGGACGAAAAGGCTTGGTAGTTTCTAAAAGCCGATCCAGTGACGGCAAAAAACGGGAAAATAAACGCTTCCAAACCTGGTACGCATATATTAAGTCAGATTTCAGGCTAAACGGTCAGTCAAGTTTATGTTGCGTTTCTATTTTATGAAACCTAAATAAAAACTGAAACAAACCCGACTCTCTTGTTTTCATCAAGGGGGCTACATTTTGTTCGAGCTTTGTTTTTGTTTTTTTTTTGTTGCCGCGAGGAAGTCAAATCACAGTTTTTCTTCAATAACCAAACCAACATGTTTTGAGAATAATCTTTTTTATTATTATTCAAGGCTGGTTTGGCAAAGCAAATGTAATAAGATGTAAGGTGTCTAAAATAAAATAGCTGTCTGTGAGTAGGTATATGTGTCTATAAACTAGCCAAGTAAACACTATAACCGCACATATTTATTTAATAATGATTAAAATAGTATTATTTTTTAGAAGAAGAAAACTCCAACACAACTATAAGGTTCGATCACATTTATCTAGAAGAGTTAACGATGGAATTATATCAAAAACAATAACGATGGTTTGCATGGGGACATCGCACATCATTTTATAATTTTCTGAGAATGTCTTCCTCTGATTTTGAAGGGCTAATTACAATAACTGGTACAAAAGTTGTAAGATTAAACAGAAACATTAGAGATTAAATGTCTGTTAGAGATCAATAATAGCAGTAACACTTCCTACTGAGGACAGGTATCAAAGCTTAATGTAATTTATCCAGAATCTCATAAATTTTTTATCTATAAAAAAATATATTGTTTACTTATCTACTAATTTGGTACAATATTCGTATTCAGACTAGCAAGGAGAATACAGAAATCGCAACACGACCGTTTCCACTAAACAGACTCGAGTTACAAAACACGTCGAAAGCTTTTGATGTGACCACTTTCAAGAGGGACGCGAAAAGTTATTACAGTTTTGTTTTATTTAACGAGTTTGTGTATTTGTGTATTGTTTTCGTTTGGTCCGTTGGAAACCCGCAATTAGACATGCATTGCACATATCATAGATTTCCATGCGCATTTGCAAATGGTAAAAGCTTTTTTGACAAAGTTCGATGGTTTTCCTTAATTTGAGTCTCTTGTCCGTTGATCTGCTATGGCTAAATGGAGTAGGCGTCAAGACAGAAATATGGTGATGTGACTTTAACCTCCATCCCATTTCTTCTGTCCCTTTTTATGCGCCTTTAAATTTGTTCCTGTGACTTCCGTGTTGCTGATGAGCAAGAGCAAATGGCCTTTTGTACGTCTATGTTTATTGTTCACTTGATCGTAACAACGAAACAATGTTACAACAAAGTAATGGCTTCGTTTATTACTTTTGTTTAGCTTACGTTCATAGTCTAATGGTTTTTCAGGTACTTGGGATGACTTTATTTGGCGACCAGTTCTTGACTGGTCTGTGCTTACCCTTCAACGGGACTATTAACACTTCATTTCTATTGCGTATGGCCAGATTTTATGCACTACACATGACGCCTTCATATGAGTATTTTTTTGTCGAATTTGTATAATGGTGAAATACAATCTTTCTGTCACGAGTTTACAGGTAACACCCCCGGAAGCAATTTCGGGGTAATGATTTTCGCTGTACTATCAGATGAAGTACAGTCTGCGAAAACCAGAAGTTCGTCCGTTTTGTGCAGAAAAACAAGGTAGAAATCGTTTTAAAATAAACTGGTCTCAAAATACTCTTCCAGGTCTTGTAGAGCAAATCTTTTGCTTCAATTTAGATAATTGTTTTTAAGCATTAAATATACTACCACTGCAACCCTAATCAATTTTGTTTTGAATTTAAATTTTTAAATAAAATACAATTTTTTCTGCTCGGGCAATTTTGTTCAGGTTCTTTGGATCATTGCGAACCTGAAAGATTAACTTTTCTCTAAATCTGACCGTTTTCGAGTAATAGACGATTTATTGTTTGAAAAGTCCTAAAGGTGAGTATATTCAATGCTTAAAAATTTGGTTAAGGATCAGAATTCTTGAAGTTGACAATTATCTAAGATAAAGTTTAAACCTTGCTTTATAAGATCCCGAAGAGTATTTTGAGATTACTTTATTTTAAAGAGATTTTTAAAGTTTTCGATTCCGTGGAATAGCCCGAGACAATTAAGCCGAAATTATAAAGATTTTATCAGTTTTATGTTGAAAGCTAATTTAAAATGTAATGAACTTTTCACCCTGTGTTTGGTAGTCTAGAAAGTGTCACGTACGAAATGTAATGTTTTCTTCCAAAGTATATATTTTCTAATACAGTTTTACTAGGAAACTCTATTTGTCTTCGTCCGTGAATATCATTATAGTGGTATAGACCCCCTTCCATACCAACATATTTAGGAAAAACCCTATGAATGGCAGTTATAGGAGCGAATGAGCGAGGAGAACTAAATTCAGAATGTGATTTATCGGGTTGTTTTAAGAAAAACGCTCCTAAAGGCATGTGCCCAAAGTTGCATCGTTTCTGAGATACCGAGCGTTGAGGTTTAAAAATAATTGCAATGCCATAAGGTTTTTATTTTATACTTAAGCCGCTACGATGGCATAAGGCCTAAATACCCGTGGGTGCCGTTGGGCTATAGGAGGATATTTGCTAGGGGGGACGTCACACGGGCTCTAGAGAAGGAACACGCGTGCAGGCGACATTCACGCATTCAAACCCCACATCAGAGATTTGCCAGGTCGTACCCCCACACTCAATGAGAAATCCATTGCAGTAGTGTATCGTATCATTTACTTCAAGGTCGAAATTGTTAATTTCTTATTTTCGACTTATAATCTATGTTGTCCATGGATTTGTTTTTAAAACGAGTTAATAGTGTCCTTTTTCTCGAAAACGATGCTGGATATAAAGAAAACACAAATGACTAAAAAGTTGTATTTTTAGTTGTTTAATGCAAAAAGAATTTAAGAACTACAAGAAAAGTTGGCGTACTCTCTTCTTAATAGTTTGGCTGTGCTGTCCAATGGGACGGCACTGGGCCTAATAATTTCAAAATAGTCAGAGCTAAATAAACGTCTTATTACTCCAAATGATTGCACCAAATTTCAACAAAATCGGTTTAGGGATACTTGTGATATTCCGTTTTTTTAACTAACGGGCTTGCAATAACTGTCGTTTACTCAGTCATATTGATTCGATGGCTATTTGTTTTAAGATACTGATTCCAGGTTTATGAATAAATCAGTAGCGTACGATTTTTTCGAGAAACACAGAAACTTTCCGAAACGAATGTCACTGAAGTAAGTTCCTTAGGAAAAAAAATTTCACAGTAACATGTATGATAACATATGTGTCTATATTAAAACTTATCTAAATGTCTGTCTTATCGAAAAATATAAGTCTTAACTGTCTTGAAGCTTATGAACTTTATTTTCGCATACTGATGTCCTGAATTGCTCTTCTATGTTTTTGACAAGACCCTTTGGATATCAGCATAGTAAGTAGTATTTCATATATATCACCTCATTAAATGCTAGCTTTACTGCACTATTACGTTTCTCAATGAGACTCAACGAGCGCTGTGGCTATGCGTACAAACAAGGAAGCCCGCAGGACGGAAGACTTTCAGAATTTGACATCCATACCTGGGAAAATTTGCAGCCCCCATTTCAAAAGGTTTTGTGAGCAGGTACCCTTTCAATCGAGGCGCAAAGCTCTCTTTTCAGCGCGGTTATAAAAAAATTGAGTAAAAACTAAACAAATACCTGTGTCTGTAGCCTCCACGTTCAAAGTATAGTTCGGTTTCATCTCCCTGTCAAGAGGCAGTGACACTATCACAAGATAGATGATATTGTCCCTCGTGGTAAGTCCAAACCTCCCATCTCCACCACTGAGAGTAACATTTATATTCGAATAGTCGGTTTTCGAGTCTGGATCATGTACACTTATCCTTGCCACGAAATCACCAGGTCTTGCAGACTCACTTATCTTTGGAGTAGCATCTTCGCTCAAAAATATCACGTTGATTGTTGGTTGGTTATCATTCACATCAGTCACTCGTATGGACACGAAAGCGGTGGTTTCTAGTGGTTGCAGCCCATGGTCTTTAGCAACAATCACGAGCTCATGTAGTTCTTTGGCTTCAAAATCTAGAGGTTTATTGACTGATATCCAACCCGTAGATGGGTCTATGTGGAACATAGAATCTTTATCGCTTTGTCTTCGGTTGATAGAATAGCCTACTTGTCCGTTTTCATCCGCATCTGCATCTTTAGCTATCACTTGCAGCACGGTGGTACCTATGGTAGCATTCTCTGGGACAGTTGCAAAATATCGAGTTTGGTTGAAGACTGGAGGATTGTCATTAACGTCTTGGATGGTGATGTTAACTGTCATCTCGCCTTTCAGGGGTGGGGTACCTCCGTCTAAGGCTTCTATCACCAAAGTGTAGAATGCAGTAGTCTCGCGGTCCAGGAACCCGTTAATCTGCAGGTCCAGGTACAGCACTCCATCTCTTTCTCGATGAGATGAGAGCCTGAAGGCATTGTTCGTGTTCCCAGAGATGATATTGTACCTGTAAAATAAAGAGACATTCATTAATAAGCAGTAGCAAGGGTGTGCTCATGAAATTGGAGCTTTTCTTTACGTGGTGGATAGTTCTGGTAAGAATGAGCAAATCTTAGTTACACATACAACCCATTCTTATTTGTATGGATCCCTTATCAAACAAAACATGCGCAACTGGACTGACACCATTCCTCGAGAATTCCATCAAAGTCACCGTGCGGTGTGCAATTTCCTCAGCTGGAACTATTGGTCGCTAGTTCTATCAGGAAAATGAAGTCGCAGTGACAGTCGATTTGGACTGATATATAAATATTTTTGTTCACGGCTAGATGAGTTGAACTTAGGGGACTAAAGCTCCAACAAGGCGGTGCAGGGACACACACTATACTTCCCAGAGCGCCTAATCTCAATCAGGGACAATTTGGAGTGACGTCCAAGGACTCAACAAGAAGGCCAACATCTAGGCAGCTGTGCGGACAAGAGTCATGACAACCCCAGAAATCGGTTTACCCACCTATTTGAATTGTTCTCCAAAACTTTATAAAACAAAGCTTTAGGCATTATGAAAAACAAATGTTCTGAATAATACAAATAGTTTTATTTGGTTACAAAGGAAGCTATGCTGTCACACCTTGTACACCAAAGTTTTGATATACCAGAGATTTTGCGTTCCAAAGAATCCGCGATATCAAGTGCGACACTGCATTAGGTAAAAAGATACGAGGTTCCTTAGCAGATTTGCCAAGTTTGTCGCCAAATTGGCGGTTTCTGAGATGCTTTGCCGACAGTTTTTTCAGCTTGGCGGATGACGATTTTTTAGCGATTTCAGGAATTTGTTTGCCAACAGTGGGGATCCCATGAGAGTTAGCTTCTTTTACAATTAGATTACTTTCAAATACCATGTGCAACTAGTGACTACGCTGCGGGATTTCCCGAGGTAACATACAATGCAATAGAAAGTTTCTTGTAGTCGAAAACACTGCTAAACCAAACACGTATCTTCTACGAACCTTGAAGAATCTTTATCTTTCAATATGAACAAATTGTAGAGGGTTTCATTTCATGCGCTGTAGCCCATCGTGCTCAAACAGTAGTCAATTGCAATCGTGTCGTCATCATGCCGACTGCCGCACGGCTGGGTAGCCTATGTATTAAATTTGTGTCAATGTTCTGTACTTAAATCAGAACATTCAGTATTTTGTTATCAATTTAATAATGCAATAAATTTGTCATAGAGGGTTGTAATCAAAATGCTAGACTTTGAAGAATCTTCCGCTGTGTATTCGAATATTGTGTTACTTCTTAACAATTTGAAGATACCACAGAACTTGATAATTTTAACACGTTTCAATCTTCTGATAGTCAAATGTTTTCCAAGCGTAACGTCAATTGATCTCCAACTATCTTATAGCTAATATGCTTAGAGTTTTAAATTCAAAATTAGAAAATGTAACATATTCTGACAATCAGTCGTAGAATCGTGTTTTCTTATACTATGATCGGTTTGCATCTGAATCTACCTCAAATAATGTTTTATTTCAAATTTTCCGCGAATAAGCTTGTTGGCAATAAATGTGACAGTAGAAACGAAATACGTGGCGATTTTGATGACTTTTCTCATTCAGCCTGGCAACGTTGGATCTGGCAACACAGTGTATTCTTATCAAGCACAGGCGCCACGTGCCGGGTAATTAAACCAGGAGGTAAATCGAGTTACTTATTATGTATCAAACGTGACGATGACACATTTTCATAGGACTCGTCGATACGATATTAATTTACACCGAGCATCTACAAGGAAGATGCTGCTGATGTTTGGCAAATGCATTCAGATCGTTTTCCTATGTTTTCATCTCGCACTTCATATGCTTGTTTATCTCGTACAAAGTCCGTTTTCAGCAACGTCGAGATGAGCACCGTAGAGAAGACTTAGACAGCCCTAAATGTTGCAAATTGGGGAAAATGTTTACAAACTATCGTTTTAAAATGTAACGGTGACGACTTCGAATAGCAATGAGACAGGGCGGTGCTCAATAGTGAGTACTTTTTACCGTACATCAGCTTTGTTATTTCAAGCATAGTTGTTTCTGATTAGGAAAGTTCCAACTTTCGTAACGCCCTGTGTACATCATGGACGCTATGAAGGGTGTCCTGAAAGTTGGGACTTTACCTTTCAGAAACAACTACCTTTGCAATAACAAAGCTAATTTGTGGTCAAACAACAGCGAAAAAGTAAAAAAAAAAATAATTGAAAACATACTCACTGCTCATCGAAAAGAAATCTCAAAAACAACTTGTACGTGTAACGACCGTATCGTCAGTCGTTCCTACAATTATTGTAGGACGCCTTTACGGTCACCTTGATTTTCATAGTTTTGTAGTGCTCCGTGTCAGCGCTCTATTTTGAGGTTATGTTACAAATATCTAGCATCACATTGTTCATGCTTTTGATTTATATCATCTGTTATATCAGCCTAAAATTTCCTACAATTTAAAAAGCATAGCCTCACAATAAGAGAGTGCTGGCACTGACACGGAAGAGTAGAAATGTAGGAATTCTCCAGCCCTTTTGAAGGAGAGAAAAGCCTATGAAAATCAAGGAGGACATAAAGGCGTCCTATATTTGTAGGAACGACTGACGATACGTCCCTAAGTATGGCTCAAAGTTAACTGCGATAGATTCAACGATATATGTACTCGTATGTGCTCGGCAAAGCCAAGCATCAGTGTAGGCTTTTAGAATGGACTGCCTATACACTAAATATCTCATTTCGCCCCAAACAAAAAAGAAATCAAGAAGGATCTTGGAAAACGATCTGCATGCAGTCGCGAAGCCTCGGTAGCATTTCCAAGATGAAGTAATAAAGGTTTTGTTTACCTATGCGACCAGCGCCTGGACTGACTTCTGATCAGCATCGTATGCGTTCAAGTTTGATTTGAGCAAGGTACTGGACCGGGTTAGGTTTTGTTTGGTTTATTTATTTTACCTAACATCCCGGTAATCTTAAGACTTTGGTGAATATGTTACTAGAAGAAACTGCCCATTCTTAGAAGATTTTTACGCCGTGTAAAAGAAAGTCCCAACTTTGAGAACATCCTGTATATACCTGAGTCTCAATAAATGATACAATTATCAAAACACTGCCTACCAATAGGAAACATGTGACATACCTCTGTGTGTTGTAGATGTCGAGGTCCAAATCTTTAGCTGGGTGAAGAGTGCGTTTGACATCTCTTGGTGTGTTTTCTGGAAACTCGATGTTCATGATGGAGGTTGGAAACGTAGGGGCATTGTCGTTCTCATCCAGGACTTTGACTACCACCTTCACATTGTCGCCACTCATAGGAATGGCAACCAAAGAGTAGGTTGCTCGTGTTTCGCGGTCCAAAGGTACCTGAGAGCAATAAAGAGAATAATAAGTGCTACTGAAGGGACGAAAAAGGTTCATCTTCTATACTGGACAAAACAGTAATAGATGAGAGGTTATCATCAATAGCTATAAACGTCTAAGTAAAAGTAAAATTGAAATAGCGTTTTCTGATTGGAGCGTCGTATTTCATTATTAAAATAAAATATTTGCAAAGCAGAAAGATGTAAAGTTAACGTAAAAAGTCCTTCTAAAGTACCGCAATATCAAGGAACAAGGTGTTGTAAACTTGTACATCAATGATTCGGAATAAATCTCAAGTATCTTCCAAGTCTCGTTATAGTGAGATGCAATTACTCCTCCAATAAAAAACATACAATGTTCAACTTCACTAATTTCAACATATTATCAAGCTTCAAAGATTATTTTTGCTTTGACAATGATTTCTTTGAAAAAACAGTGCTTGTAAAATTTTAAGTGCCTACTCAAGAATGCATCAGACGTTTTAGGGACACAGAGGTGTAGAAAATGTTTCTTTTTCTGTAGAAATCAAAATATCTCTATGCTATTGCTCTAGTATGAATCATGAGGACTGTTATATGTCTCTTGATTTCGAATTAGGTTAGGTTAGGAAACTATCAACGTAATTTTTGAACGTACTTTCTGTCATAGAAGTATAGTCGCTTTTGTAATCACCCTGTATAAAAATAAAGATTTCAGAAATATGACAGATACCCACATAAAAATTGCACCCGGGTTGTGGTATACACTGAAAACCAAATTTGTCTGACGACTTCAGTTCAATGCGTACGAGAGAGAAGTGTATATAGACACAGATGTTAGAAGGTATAGGAGCCGGCTGGATAACGAAGCTCATCAGCGCGTTGCCTAGTAACGCTGACGCGACAATCTGCCGCGTTGCCAATATGTTACACCAGTTCCTTGGATTAAGGCCCGTATCGTCAGTCGTCCCTACAATTGTAGGGTGCGTTTATGGCCTCCTTGATTGTCATCCTCCTTTCTCTCCTTCAAAAATTTCTAGATTACACTTGTCCCGTGTCAGCGTCAGCGCTCTCCTATTGTGAAGATATGTTTTCTTTTTATATTGTAGGAAATTTCAGGCTGATAAAACATGATATAACTCAAAAGCAAGCACAATTTGATGCAAATAGATGTTTGTGACATAACCTCAAAATAGAGTTCTGACACGGAGAAGCAGAATACTATGACAATCAAGGAGGCCGTAAAGGTACCCTACAATTGTAGGGACGACTGACGATACGGGCCTAAGATTCTTGTTGAAAATATGCGTTAGTTCATTCTCTAAGCCCAAATAGTGGTTTTATTTTGAGCGTACACATTTTTGAATTGTGAATTGTGTCAAATCTGTCTAGGATTGATTTCCGACCGGTTCCCATGGCACTCCATTTTAGATCGAAATGAAAGGTCAGGATCGCTACAAATTCTGCAACATTGCATCTTTAGTTCGTTAGTTAGTTGAGCGATTTTGGTCAGTACCCATCTAGCGCTCGTAGGGGAGTGTCGCCCTGCTTCAAAGTGGCTTTCACCTGCGTACACCCAGGCAGTGATAATTTGTATTGAGTAACCTTGTTACAATTCCCGAACGCAGCATCGGTGAAAATCAGATATAGTTATAAAATAAATTAAAACACGGAGTTGCATCAAAATTGAAATAAATAATACTGATCAAAATGAAAACGAAATATTAAATTAAATGTTCGAATACATCTCCTTTTTTGGTTTAACGGTAACCTAACCTGTTGTAGAAGCCTGTGCGAATAGTTTCTGGTGTAACATAGTGGCAACTCGGCCGATTGCACGACCTTCTGCGACGCCGTTGCTAGGCAATGTGGTGATGACCTTCTGTCTTAAGCCGGCTTCTATCTCTTTCTAACATGTGTTAGTACACGTCTTGTGCTTCTCTTTCGTACTCATTGAACTCAATTTGATTTTCGCTGTATGTAGAGTTATGCATAGCTCTCACTGCCACATATAAATTGATTAACAAAGTGCCATTTCTTTCACCCATTTTCTCAAACTAGTCCAATAATTTTAGCAAAAGCTATCGATATCGTTCTTTAGTTGTATTTTCAGGTTCTGCTATGTTTTATATCAACAAAATTGATTAGGAATACTCATACGTTGAGGAGAAAATGTTTACATCGGCCAGCCGAAACTACAGAACGTATGTCAGAGTTTACACAAACAAACATCCGCGCACACAGGCAGATTACGTATGTATGTGTGAGGAAGATGGATGTTTAAAGGTGATTCCGGTGTAGTTTTGGCTTGACCAGCTGCAAATAACACGAACTGAAGTATAGTTGTAGCAAGTTGAAAAATTTCAACTAGAAATGCATTTATTTTCTATCATACCTTATGGACTAAAAAATTCAATAGAAAGTGGTGATCAATGGAAACTATAATTTTCCCAGACCTCTCAACGTAAAAGATAACCAGACAAAAAAATTGTAGATGTAACAGTTTTTTGAACTTTTGGCGAACAGGACTCGCCTATTAGTTCAAAATTTTGGCTGACTCTTGATATGAAGTTTCAGTTGCAGTTGTTCTATGGTTCGAAACTTTTCTCCGACTGAAGTGAAATGTCATTTTTCACCCTACCACCACACCAAACTAGAATCCAATTGTAATTTGCCATACTTCAAGTCACACCTGAACCAAAACAATCTAATAAAGTCTAAATGGAATCTCTTCTCACCTTTGTCCTGATTTCCCCCGTAGTCTGATCAATGTCGAGGTCAGTATCCACCGCACTGCTAACGGGGATAATCAAATAAGGCGGCCCCGAATCAAGCGATGCTCCGTCCCCGATATACCCGATCCTGGTGCCCACAGGAGCTCCCTCAGACACCTCCAGATCCCTGACGTACTCCCCTGCATGAACGTAGGGGGCCACCGCCACCAGTTGCAGTAGCCACCAGGTGCTCCAGAGGGGCATCGTCGAGGGGTGCCCAGACCACCGCCACCTCTGCATCATCGGAGGTCCAGCATTCTGGAAGAGAGAAAAGATGTGGTGGGTAGACGATTTTTTTTCGAAAATAGGAGAACGTGTAAGCAACTAATTATTTATTCCCGAAATCTACATACGTATCATCCCGTATCTTATTCAAATCATTATTATTATATAAAAATTGTTCCAATAATCTGGATATTTATTTGAAGACGTTACGAAATATAATAATAATAATCGTCTTTATTAGGGGCGAAGTTTAGCACAGTGCTATTCTGCCGCTTAATGTAGCTCCGACGCAGCGAGTTTCAAGCAGTATGCTGAGAAGGTAATTGCCCAGGATACTATAGGAGACTTTTTTAAATTTTGTTTTTGCACAAGTTTTATGATGGGTTGAAGTGCGCTCTTTTTCTGTTCAACGATTTTCATAAAAAGAACCTAGTGAAAAAAATAAAAAGTGGCTCTATAACACCCTGTGGGGTTTTGTTTTCAACACTCTGTGAAAATTTCATCCAAAAATATCAAACAATAAAGCGTCAATTTTGAAGCGCGCAAATCTCTACAAATCGTATTTTGGACGAATTTTGTTTCGTGCTGCCAAACCAAGCGTTGCGGTGCAATGTACGGACTAAGAAAGCACGTATTTAGATAATTTGGTGGCCCTATTTCATATAATATCGCGTAGATAAGTCGTTCTGCAAATAGGTACTCATAATCGCGATCGCTGATACTCCTCGATTTTAAAGCCGTTTTACTTCCCACGTCATTGGCGAGGAAGTATTGTAATCGCGAAAAATTTCTAAAATGAGATGTTATGTTTTTTTAAGTCATATGACATCTACATCACGAAAAACTATATCACTCATCATCAACTTGGAAATTACCGCTCGGATTTTTATGAAATTTTCACACGCGATTACTAGTATGCCAAAGCTTTGTAGTTTTAGTCCAGTGGCAACGGTGCTATAGGCAAAAAAGAAAAAGTAACAATTGCTGAAACCCCGTTTTTGACGTTTCAGGGATTCCTTAATCATTGACATAAAAAAATTGTACTGCTTAAAAGGGGGGTTGAAATCAGTGAAATACGTTCTATTACTAAGAAGCTTCTGATCCCAGTGATTACAGGAAATTTTTGTATCGAAAGTCCGACGAATAATGTGCTCACGATTTCAAAAAATCGGTACCTGCTCTATAGGTTTGACACCAACAGCCAACAGATCTGCAACTACCGACGTAGGGAAGAATAAATTCGGATATCACTCCAGTCAAGTATAGGGGAATTTAGCGTGGAACTTTAAAATTGTCCATATGTCAAGGAAATATGTTTTTGAGAACAATCATTTGGTAGATTTTATACCTGCAGTTTCATTTGAATTTCATAACCCGTGAAATGTATCCATTTCGCCGTTCCCTTTTGTATTCTGCAGTTTGTGATGTTTTTTCTGGATATAAGCAGGCCATAATTGCCTAGAGTGCTATCAGAGCTTTTTACAAAATTTTGTCTTTGCGCAAGAATTATGGTGGGTTGAAATGCTCAGTATTTGTGCTCAACTTCTTCATATTTTTAAAAGATCCTAGTGGATAAAGTCGAAAAAATGGATCGCTGGCACCCTGTGGACTTCGTTTTTAGAACCCTGCAAGAGTTTCATTTGGAAATAATAAAAAAGTAAGCTGTGAAGTGCAAATCGGTTTTTGGGAGAAATTCATCTACTGTTTCGTCCTGCCAGTCCAAGCGACGCGACGGTGCGTTCCGACTAAGAAAAAACGTATTCAAATAATCTTATATCTTTCCTAAAATAAATTCAAGAACTCAAATTCGTTTATTCATGTCAATAAACACAATTATGTTTACCAGGGTCGTGGGGTAGATGCTAACAATTGAACGAGGGTCATAAAAATATCTTATGCCGTCAAAATAAGAGGAATCAGGTAGTTTTTGCAAAGCTTATACCTGGATTAAGTACATGTCTTGTCTACTGTAATAGGTAGATGGAGGTGATGCTGCCAGAAATAGATGTGTGCGATCAATAAACAAACCACAAGATTGAACTGCCGTGTCCAATGATTTTTGTATTGCCTTACTAGAAAACTCTGTTGGGTATATGATGGAGTTTACTAGAACTTTACAGCTTGTTGTCTGCCTTCTTCTACAAACTTCACCAAATCGAGACGCTGTCATCCTTATTCTCCGATGAAGACGCCACAAAGTCGTGTGATTTGGTGACTTGTTCGATATGCAAAATCTCGTCGTCACTTTTTCTAAGTTTCCCTAAACATTTTTGCTTAGCAACCTCCAAATCAATTTCGTTCGTGTCTGGTTTTTGACAGAATTCGCCATAAAACTATTAAATATTTTTTTTTTGGAATTGCTATCCGAATTGTTAGTTATTTTTATATCAACTTTTTTTGGTCTGAGTTTCTTTCCAAGATTCTTGCGTTTGAGTCTTTGTTCCATCTTAGTGATAAGCGAGGTTGGACTAAGCTTAGAACGAAGCTGCAGCACATCTTCCATGGTATGACCTCTTCCTGCAATAATTTATTCGCTTACCCCATGTTGCGATTATAGAGTTGAACTGCTCCACACTATGGTTGTCCTCATCATGAGTTAAACTCACTGAATTCGTAATTAAAATTGTCGCATATGACCTTTTATTGTCCATTATCAACCTTGATAAAAAATTCACTCAAGAACAATCACACCAACAAGAGTACAACACAACAATTCAACAACACAATATCGACGAACAGTAACAAGGGTAGAACAATACTAAATGATCACTAGCTGAGTACCAAAATAGGACACGATTTACAGGCTAGATCGCTAATCGAAATCCGACTCTGTTATTATAAAAATTTACCTCGGTAGGCACCCGCAGTCATCCTTCCCTGTTTTAAAGTAGCGCCGACCACCGTCTAAGACCAGCCCACAATCGTTTCCTTTTCACCCCCCCGTTACCTCAGCAGATGGTGCTCGTGATTGTAGGAGCCCCGTTAACCCCAAAACAAATGGACAAATTAGACACAAAACATAAAAGACTTCGATGATACACTAATGAGCTAAATCAAATGTATATAAAAATCGGTATAAAAATATGTTGTATAAAAATATCGTGTGAAAATATGAAATAATAACTGGTATGTATTCAAAGATATGGGATATAATACGTAAGAGTGTCCGTGAAACGAATGTTCCTTGAATGAATATGGTTTCTAGATATTAGTCTATTTTTCAAATACGGAAGTGCAGATGTAATAGTTTATGAGTATAACAAATTAATTGCCATTCATACAGCTCTTTTATTCTCAACCACTCTGGGCTGATATGATCGTACTTTCTTAAGTTGTTGATCAATAAATCTGTAATAAGGATTTTGAATTTTATGAGGAGGTGCAAGGGATGTTATATCTACAAATGGTATATCACAGTAAGTGATTTTTTACACCTTTTTTTAGGGTTAAAATATTTGAAGATATAAGTAGATAATACAATTGAAAACTTTCTTAATGGTGCAACTTTTGAAAAAGTATATTAAGTTCTAGTTACATATGCACGTAAGTTAAGTACAGTTGCCGGCACCTACCAACATTTGGTCATATGGTGCACAGTAACAAGCTCCTCCCACGGAACGGCGGCGGTACTGCATGGTACTTCATCCGCCGTTATTCCAGTAGCGCACCGAGTACCGACTGACGCCTGCAGCTGAAGTTAAAGCGCACGTTTTGTTTATAGACTGATGATAATATTTCTATGAGTAATCAGGGTAGAAATAAAGTTTTGTCCAACCAGACGAGTGAGCTGGCATACAATGTATACCAATACATCCTCAATTTGAAAACTGGCAGTGACGGTTTCCAAAATATGACAGAGATTAAAGCTGAAGTAGCTGAAGCAACAGGAGTGTCAATTGCCAGTGTCACTCGCATTGTTAAAAAGTTTAAGGATTTCGGAAGTAATGAACAAAAACGAGCGGCGTTTTCTGATGAAACTAGTACTGCACGAAAGCGCAAATTGCCCGCGGCAGATCTGTCAAACGCGAATTCCACTACTGCATATATAAGAAACATTATCTATAATTTCCATTTAATAAACTCCTCTCGGTTAACAATCGGAGCGCTTAGGAAAAAACTAGAAGATTTCGATTGGCATGGTAGCGAAAGATCTTTGAGAAGAACCGTTGAACAACTCGACATCAAATGGAAAAAACACAGAATAATAGAAAACTACTCATCGAGAAATGGGACATTCGTCGAATAAGTATAAGCTATTTACAGAAAATCGAGTACTTCCGCAAAATTATATACCTAGATGAGTCCTAGATACATGCCGGACATACTAGGACTAAGAGTTGGGTTTATGATAGTAAGTTGGGTCTCTTTTCCAAAATATCCAAAGGAAAACGGCTAATTATGATCCATGCAGGTAGTTCCGACGGCTTCATAAATGACGGTTTATTGATCTTTAAATCAGATACAAAAAGCGGATATTGCCATGACGAGATGGATAGCTCAAATTACAAGAGAGCAGCAGCTTATTCCAAATTTACTACCGAATTCTGTGATAGTTACTGATAATGCACCTTATCACAACATACAGGTGTGATCCTGCACCAAACTGCAACGCTTGGGAGCAAATAATGGTTGACTGGCTTGTATCTAAAAATATTAGATTCACTCCGCCTTTGCTGAAACCACAACTTTTTGAATTGATAAAGCAATAAGCAACAATTCATACAGTATAAACATGATGTACTTTTACGCATGCATGGACACAGTTACACGACTACCTCCATATCATCCCCATTCAAATCCTATTGAATCTATATGGGCTACAGTGAAGAACAGAGTTGCAGATCGAAATATCACATTTATTGTGGATAACGCACAGCGAATAGCGGAGGAGGAATTTTCAAAGATAACACCAGATTATTGGAAGAAATGATGTGGTTATGTCATCAAAATTGAAACGGGATCCATATCTAGAACGAGAACAAGGTAGACGCCACATTTATTATTAACATCGGGGATGATGACAGCGATAGTGA